CTGTGTGTGTGTGTGTGTGTGTGTGTGTGTGTGTGTGTGTGTGTGTGTGTGTGTGTTAATATAAAATAATAGTACAAAAATATGGAGGGAATCAGGAATGTCGTCTAAAAACAAAAAACCTAGGGTTCCATTATCCACGTTACAACTCCACACCAAAAGGATAAAAGTAAAAAAAGTGTACCAAAAAAAGGACAATAAATCCAATACACCAAGGAAATCGTATACCCTACAAAAGATGTACACCAAAAAGTGAAAAAAGAACACAAAAACAAAATGAAGAGCTTCAAGCGGCATCAGCATCACAAACATCAGCTTTCCACGAGAAAACCTACAGTAATAAAGGCCAAAAAAAGAGAGAGGACCCGTGAAAGTAGAGATTAAGTTAATGAAACCAATAAAACCCGTAAACTCATGTGCAAAGGCTGACACCCAAAAAAAGTACCACAAAACCCAAAAGTAGGTACCACCATAATCTGGTGAGCGGCTAAAACCGCCCCAACCGAGAGCCACTGTAGTAGGAACGGAGATGTAAGGACAGCCCCATTGATATCCAAGGCCAAACCGTACCACCAAATAGATAATAAAATTAAGAGGAAACATCCCGACGTACATATTGGGCATCAAGCTTGTCAACAACCAACAAAATGTTTAAAGGAGAGGGGGGATCAGATCCCACCCAACAGTTATTAGAGGCGCTACCCAAGCTAGCAAGCCGGTTTGCGGGTTAATTTCTCTCCCGATAATTGAAGCTCCTTATGACATTCATATTAGTAATTAAGCATTTAATCCTCTTAATATAATAGAGGATGTCCCAAGGTGTCTAGGCACCATTGGCAATAATGTCAACCAAAATGCGATCATCACATTCAAATATAATAAATTGTCATTTAAGAGAGTGTGCTATCATGACAGCCATCAAAATAGCCTGAGCCTTCGCCTCCAAAGAAGTATCAACGTAAGATGGGGAAGAAAAAAAGAAAATATAATTCCCTACACAATTTCTAGCACCGCAGCCCGCACTGCTAGATTTGTAACTCCCATCAGTGTTAAACTTTATCCAACCCCTGGGAGGTGGCCTCCATCTCACCAAAACAGGAAGAAGAGATCTCTTAGCCATAATTACAGCCCCCATAGAAAATAATTAATATCAGAAAAGAAGCTTTGTTTAGCATTACCAGTTCTCCAAAGTTTATTAATATAGGCAATAATATTAGTAAAGACCATTCTATTCTGAATGGCCTTACCCTTAAGGATAATGTCATTACGAGTTGTCCAAATAAACCAGTATATAATATACGGGTAGACTTGCAACAAATGCTTCTATTTTCGATCCGGATTGCAAATTATAATGGTAAGCAAGAGATTCCGCTCCGGATTCACAATAGTACCAAACCACATGCCAATATTCCTACAAATGTAAATTGAAAAAGGGCAAGAAAAGAAAATATGGTCAACGGTCTCCTCAGCCGAGTTACACAAACAACAACGTGAAGCAAGTCTCAACCCCTTCATTTTTAAGATATCATCACAAGGAATAACATAATGAAAAATCCGCCAAGCCAGGAAAGACATAGAGGGAGTTAAAGCCCAACTCCACACCCCCTCTCCCCAAGGGAGCTTTTGAAAATTATGTAAAGCGGAATATAAAGATTTGGTAGTGGAGCATGGCATTAGATGTTTCAAAGTAGGAGTATCTTGCAAATGAGACTCAATAGGAATAGTTGAGATAAAAGTAGCTCCCTCAAAACTAAGAAGACTAAGGAGATAAGGAAAATTCCAATGACCATCCTCCTAAGTGTCAGAAACCATAAAACTTGAAGTCCTAGCATCCCTCATTTTAAGCATAACATGGGACCAGCAGTCATGCCAAAAGAAAATGTCTCCACTCCCCCCCTCCCAATAAATGAAATCTTTTACCCAGTCTCTAATATGAAGCATTCTTTTCCACATAGTGGAATCCCCCAACCGCCAGTTGATCAATGCCGGATGAGAAGAGTGACAATATTTCTCATGCATGAAAATGGCCCACAAAGAATCACCTTTCCGAAAATTGAACCATTGTTTAAAAACATTAACATTAATAAAAAACATTAATATCAGCAATATGGTGCAGAGATTTGAAGCCCAAACCACCAGCATAAAGTGGTTTACAAATATTCTTCCAAGGCATTCATCTTCTACCAGAATGATTCTCCACCCATAAAAACTTATTAAAACATATTTCGAGGCTCAAAAGAGTACTTTTCTTAAGTTGGAAAACTTTAAGAGTGTATAAAGGGAGAGAATGTAAAATACTCCTGAGCAACTTAATTCTGCCCCCAAAAGAGAGGAAATTATTTTTCCAATCTGAGATTTTCTTACGCACCTTTTCCACCACCTCATCAAACTGAATTCGTCTCTTCCTTCCTTTAACTAAGAAGACCCCAAATATTTAAGAGGAAGGGTAGAGATAGAGAACCTAGTAAAATTGGCAATCCAACAAGCATTAGAGCGATTGACCAAATTTCCCATGTATAAGTTGCATTTATTGGCATTAAATAGGAGTCCAGATACAGATTGGAAATCCACTATTAAACTGTAAATATCGCTCACCACTTTTTTGCTAGCATTGGAGAACAATATCATATCATCAACATACGTTAAATGTGTTACCAACGTATTAGATTTATGAGCGTATTGCAAAGTGGGGTTTCTTCTGAAAAGGTTCTTTAAAAGGCAAGAAAGATAATCAAATATTAAAATGAAAATAGTAGGGGATAAGGGGTCACCCTGTTTTATCCCACGCCCCGCACTAAAAAAACCTCTGGCTTTTCCTAGGATTTTTGCAAAATCATTCTCTCTTGGCTCCATTGCAATATATATATATATATTGAATTAAATTTAAATTATTTTATTGAATTAAATTTAAATTATTTTTAAAAAGCGACCGACAAGGTGCATCTTATCATTCCAACTATTAATTATACAAGGCCAAGAACTGTCCTTGGCTTGGAAAGTAGCTATCACCCCACAACTAGAAAACACTATGAGCCTTATCTTATGATTCTTACAATATATTATAATGGGCCAAAGAAATGTTATTGGCTTGGATAATAGATATCACCAAAAAGAAAGAATAATACCACGCTTTACTAATAAATGGATAAAAAAGATCAAATCATGGCTCAATTAATACTAGCTTGACTCACTCTCCACTTAGGTCCTAGCAATAGATGCCATGCATGGGGACTTGTATGGGAGAAGATACCTGTGAATATAAACAATTTCTTGCAAGAAGCGCAACGAATCGTATAAATTTAGATTCCAAAAAATGTTTCTTCATACCAAAAAATCCTATAAAGCTTAAAGGATCTGCACAGGGATGAATAAAGGCCGACTAGGCAAGGGTCTAGGTTCAGTAGACTTTAGAAAGACATTTCCTCTCCTCTTCCCTCTCATACAGATCTCAAGCTAATCTCAATTCCACAAATTTACCAGTCAAAGGAATTAGGACTCCAAATGGAACCATCAATAGCAATGCAGATCTAAAAGCCTCTTTAAGTCCCCAATTACATCAGTATGCAAGCAAAGCATGCACAAAAAAGAATAATACAAATTTGGCTACAGCCAATGTCAGTTAGTAAGCATGAATGCATGTTTGAATAAAAAAGCACCTTGGTTAGTGCTCAACATATATAAGAAATAGTTGGCTATAATATCGACTACGATTTAAATTTGGTGCTCTTCATGCCTAGATAAGATTTAAATGGTGAATTTATCCTTTGCCACTCTTTTCTTTTTCAACATTAGCTTGACCTAACATTATTTTTTCTTTTGGGTTGAGAGATTATGCAATTAAGTAACATAAATAAAAGATTATCAAGTACATATATATTAAACATATTAAATAAGCATCCAAATTCAGCATAAACAAAATTAATGTATGATTGCATTTACAAAATAAAAAATTATAGAACCTTAGCTATTGTTAGAATTTTATGGATACAAGAACAAAAAATTATATCAATCAAACCTGATACAAGTCTGCGGATCCTGACACACGAGTTGCAAAAGGTCCCTTCATGCCAACGTCACCCTACGAAAAAAGGAATGCATTTAGATGTCTTAGCCGATAGAATGACAATTATTTTTTATGATAAAATAAAGAGTGTTTAATTAAACAAAATAAGACTACACTAACACATAATCACCAGAACCAACCATAAGAAAAGAGATCATATAAAGGCAGTAGGCTTCCCTCCAACACAAGGATTCGAAGGGGCTAATATATGCAGCTCCACGCCAACATTACAGCTAAATCATGACCACTAGCTCAAAATTAAGGCAACCAAATCATAACTCTGGATCAATCCTCAACAAAACTAGTAAATACACACTCTAAATCTTTTATAATAATGTTAAATCGACAACTAGATTCATCAAATATCTTCACAAGAATATGGTGAAACGTATGAAAGACTTGTGATATTCTCATTTCATATGAAAAAAAATTTGATAAATATTATGATTTTTATACTAAGTTATATGATATATGCATAATGCATTTCATGTGCAATTAAATTAAACATAACAATTAAAATTTATGATAAAAAAACGTTTTAAATAACTTCTTATTCATCTAATTTTAAATATATTATGGTAAAGAAACAAATGAGCAAACATTAGATGAATAAGATTTTTATTTGATTTTTATTGCCCTTCAAACAAACAACCATGATCACACCTCAGCTTCAAAATCAGAAATATACAATTTTTAATGCATATTTAGCTTTTTCGATAATCAACACTTTCTTTTCCTTTTGTAATCGAACTTTTAAATTACACAAGGATGTGTGATTTTCACAACTTAAATTGCCAAAATATATCATGATCATAATATCAATAGCATGTTTTAACAGTTTTGAATAGCAAAATAGAAGGATAAAATGTAAAATATTATGAAGACCCCAAGGAAAGATATTTCAGGGAAAATAAATTATCATTGCAAAGACTTCAAGCTATTAAAGCTCATTTTTATGACCAATACCATATCATAATTTATTATAACTAACAAGAAAGTCTTTATATGTGTTAGCCAGGGTGTTTTAGACATAGTGAGTTGTAAACCTTATATATATAATATAAAGTTTGTAGTGCTATCGCTTCCCTCTAACTAGTTTGCTCTAAAAATTTTCTCCCTCCCTATTAGTGCTATTTAATGTTTATCCTCCTTACTAAGCTTGATGCATTCTCACATCATTCGTCCCACTCCTCGCTCTATTTATTGCATGCATCTCAGCTATTGGTAAAAAAAACAAGTTTTGATTAATCATAGAGCTTACCATGCTCAAAAAGTAAACAATTCCTTCTATCTACAGCTTATACAATCACAACAAGGAGTGTTGACATACTCTATTATTTTCATGATAAAAAGTGATTATATCGTATTCCTGTAGATTTCAAACAACATACTTCTTATTGTTCTTCCTTAAATTTTAAAAAAGCTTTCATGATGTCATTAGGACCAACCTCCTAACATTTGTTGTATTTTCCCTATGTCAACAACACTCTACTCGTTCTAAGAAAAGATACTCCATTGTCTCCACTTTTCATGAGCCTTGCACCAACCGTTAGGCTTGTTCTAATTCTCAATAGTGAAAAGCTATTAAGAAGAACTTGATGCCTTTATAGAGCACATAATTGTGATTTAGTTGATCTAACAATAGAAAGGTATATTGTCGACAAATGGGTCTACAAATCAAAACTAACTCAAATGGATCTCTTATGAAACTTAAAGGACAACAAGCAAAATATAATGATGATATATTGTTTGAGAGGTAGATCTTGTCTCCTCAAACCCTAAATGTCACTAAGAACACCACAAGAAAAGAGGAAAACTGCAACCAACACACAACAAAACATCCCCAAAACAAACCCTAGCCCCCTCCACCCCCTTCCCCACAAAATCCCCCTTACATCCATTCCTTCTATACATGAGCAGCGGCTTTGTGACTTCTGCCTGAGCATTGGAATCGCACTCCACATCCCACGACTGGGCCATTCAGCTTAAATCAGCCGCTCGTTAATTTGGCTTGGGCTGGCCGGTCCAAACCAATTCCGCCGCACGGGAGGGCTAGCGCTTATCACATGCACATTTCTTCTCGTTTCTATAGCTATGAAATATCAAGTAATGCTAATATAATCCAATTTACCTTAACAAATCTCCGAACATCATCACGATATTTGCCATTCCATTCAGCCCACCTGCGGAACAAAAGCAAGAGAAATTCAGAAAAAAACCCATATAATTTCACTAATGACACAAGCAATGCTAGTATAATCCAATTCAGAATAGGTACATGTGTTTTCAAAAAAAAAAAAAAAAAACCTAACCTATTCTTAAACGGAACCCTATTCTTAAACGGTACATGGAAGCTAATAACTTAGTATGCACATATGAATTTATCCACCATGCAATGAAATGCAAGTGAAAATATTATTCCAGGTCTACATAACCTCAATGTCCTACATATCAGCAACAGGATTATGTAGAGGAGCAAAAAATACAAAAATCACGGATGGCATTAGAACTAGAGATAATAAAGTAAAAAGTTAACACGGATTATCCAAGTCCACAGGCAATGCTTGTGCAATAAATTGCTTCTTCCTTTTTGTAAACAAAAAAACTTTATTAAAATTTTTTATGAATTTGAAAAAATTATTGTGTCCAGAATCCAGATAGTATATGCAACGTATATAAAAGTAAGCATTAAAAGCAGCCAAATTAAGAATAAAGGAAAAATAATATTAGAACGTATAGATATTATTATAATCTTCATCTAAAAATATAAGGTTTAAAATAGTAAAACACGAGATATCAATGAAAAAAAGAGCAAAATTGAAAAAAACTCATCATCATTGATGAAATTACCTATCCCAATTCGGAAACTTTCCTACTAAGTACAGGCCACCACAATCCCATGGTTCAGCAATTAATTTACATCTGGATAAGACAGCATCCTTTGCAATTGCCTGATTTAGCATAAAACAAAAGGAATGTTATTCTTCATCAGGTATAGAATGTTTTCTCTATAAAATAAGAAGGGAAATTTGCATACAAAGCACACAATTCCTATGTATTTACATATTTCATACCTAAATTTTCATATTTACATACATAGCACTTTAGTGCTTTAAACCAATGCATGCAAAAGGTGTACTTCACTTTTAAAAAATGGTGACTCTACTACTTTTTATGTGATATTAAAGATTTGAGTTCTATGTGTATGAATATGAAAGTTTAGGTGTGAGATATGTAGATGCATTAGAACTGTGAGCTATCTATGTATATACCCCAAATAAGAATCTTTAAGACGATTGCCCCATATAAAGCTTATATAGTTTTAATTGATCAAGAATAAGTTAGCAAAATTATAAAGGGATAAGATACCATTCCTTAGCTCAGGATCCAGACTACGTTAGATTGCATTTCTATTTAAGATTAGTGTTTCATTTATCCACAGTATATTAGATTGCACTTGTTTATTAAAACGTCCTTCCATAAAATGTTCATTATGCACAAGTAATTCTATAAATTTACCTGAATTCTTTAATTAAAATTTTTATATTAAACAGGAGATGCATGCAATGTCATACTATTTTTCAATATTCATAAATGTTATGATCATTCTCTAGTTATTGTTTATTATTCCCAAATGTCCATCCACTACCAACGCACTCCCATGACCATGTTCCCATTATGCTATGTTATTATCATATTTGCGACTCCAATATTATGTTATCATCATATCTATAATTCTAAATGTCATCTAATTGTTATGATTACGTAATCAAGTTTTCGTATAAGTTAAGCACTTCTTTTTAAAAATGGTGCTGCTAGTATGTCATTGAATTCTTATGCATATGATTTTAAAGTTACAAAATTTTTATGAGTACAAAATACAAATCTAGGTCAAATAATTTTAACAGATAAAGCGATTACATAGAAGAAAGAGCAGATGAGTCAATATGCATAATAGCTTGCATGCACATGTTGAAAAATGGAAACCCGTTTATGAAACTAAGGATGCTAATTGTTTATAACTCTAACCTTCCTGCTATTAAAAATAGCAGATGTAAGAGCCACACTCTGCAATGCCAATGGGATTTGTCAGGGAGTGATGATAAATATTTTCTTCGCAGATAATAATAGGCATAAGAACAATATCCTATTATGATGTCAGGGTTGTGAGTTAGGCATACAACAATCTATTATCCCTAGAGCTTCCAATATAGAACTAATAATTATTTACATTGTAATACAATAGTGGTGCCATTCTATGATATAATCCATGATGATGATGGTATTCAAATGCTCTAAGATTATGCTTATACATCAATTGGTATGACAACGGCCATGATTACTCAACACTCCAGTTGTGAAAATAATTCTCTCATGTCAAATGCCATATTTTTAATAAATCCTTGAAATGTTATTTAATCGGCATGCATATTATTTAGTTTTTCTATTGTGCTTATAGTATTTAAAATTATAATGTGCACATTGAGTTCCATTATTTTAGAGAAAAAATCAAAATGGTCCCCCGATTATATATGGGAGTCATTTTAGTTTAAAATTATATAAAAGCCTAATTTAATCCCTAAATTCTTTAGAAAATGTTCAAAGTAACACTATCTTCTAAACTAATGGAAATTGAAGTTGATAGTTTTGAAGGCGAAGGTATTTCAAAAAAAAATATTTTTTCTTGGATTTTATAGTAATTCTAATTTTCTACAAAACTTATTTCATCATGTACGGCAACTAACTTTTAGTACAAAGAAAGGTAGATTAGATTATGCAAGTTGCAAAATTGATTTTTGTAATAAATAATTTTGACTGATAATTTAGTTATTTTGATTCCAAAATAATAAAAAAATAAATATAATAAATTTTGTTATAATAGAATCAAGAAAACCAATGTCAAATAAAAATATTTAATACAAAAATTAATAAGCAGGGTAACCTTGCAACCTATATAATCTCAATCTAATCTTATTGTACATGAAATTATTCGATAAATATGAGAAAATAAAGTAATAAACTATAAAATTCAAAAAGAAAATATGCTTTTTCAAAAAACTCCTATTTTTAATACTACTAACTTTAATTTCCATGAGTTTAGATGAGAGAATTATTTTGGTCTCTATTTAAGAAATTTGAAAACTTAATCAATCCTTTATATAACTTAAAATAGCTCCCGATAAAAGGTTAGGGTCATTTTGATTCTCTTCTTTAATAGTTCATACAGCATATCCCATTAGTTGATGACCATTTTTCAATAAATCCTATGAAGAAGTTGATGAGCTGCAAAGGGGATTAGAACAAAACTAATATGAAATACCTTCAATAAGGTATCTTTGAAAATACAGTTTATGTACAACATATTTTTGGACACTTGGTGCAAAAGTAATATTATATACTTTTATTGAGGTTAAAATTGCAATTTTCATGTTGATGGATAAGGTAATACGAACAATATAGTAATACATTAAAATGTTTCATAAATTTCGTCCATGAAATCTTAATTATTGTGATGCTTCATTATGACATTAGATCTTGAGGTTTAAATCCTATTTATTGAAAGAATCAGATCACCATATCATGCCAGTTAACTTTATGTTTTTTTTTAATTGTGCATCACTAATAAGTTGTATAAAGAAAATGATGGAAATGGTCCTCAAACTATTTTTAAGAGGCCCTTTTAGTCTCAAACTATATAAAAAATATAATTTAGTCACTTTATTCTTAAATACGAGCTAAAATAATACAACCTTTAAAAGTAATAGAAATTAAAGTTAATGGACAGTTATAAAAATAACTAGGCAAATTGTATTTTTTTATAAAAGCTAATACATTATTTTTTTTTAATTGGAATATTTTTAAGAAAAAAATATCAGTAATTACAAAATTTTATAAATTTAATATGAATTAATTTCAACATAGAGCATTTGAAAATGAAGTAAAAGATATAGAGAACGTTACCAATAGACTATATCCCAAACAACATAAGTAGAAATTTAAATTTTTAAGAAAATTTTAAAAATTTTAAAGAGATTGAGAGTTCTAAGAATGTCCTTACTTGAAAGATGAAATTTTCTAAAATATTATTTTTTAACACCATCTGTAACCTTTAACATTAATTCATCACTTTTAATAACAAGACCATTTTGGCACATATATTAAAAGTTTTAAGAACAAAATGCCTAAATGGTACCTTTCAGCCAAGTACTAAAATGGCAACCCTCAAATGACCAAAGGACCAGTTTAGTTATTTTCTTTAATTATAAACCATCTGTTGACCTCAATTTTCGTGAGGTCTAGTTTTTCTCGTAGGAGTTAGGATCTAGCCTTAGGGGTCTTCCTGCGATTATCTTAGAACCTTAGAAGTGGTGCCCGCCTCGTTTTAGTTCGACCTATTTCCGTCCTCTTTTGTGGTTCCAAGTGTGTGGTATCGACTTCTAGCATTTAGAAGGGTGAAACCAACATGAGGAAACCCAAAAGGGACCCCTATAGGACCTTTTTGAGCCTTAGGGTGGCCTTCTGCACAATTCACACTCCTGCGCGCACCAGCTTCGCGATTCGGAGAGTCGACGCGTCCGATTGCTGCAATTCGCATCGCCTGCACCGTTATTTGCCGAGGACTCGAGTAAACCACTTGTGACGATCGATCGCGGGTCGAGATTTTGTGAAATTTGAATTTCGACGCATTTTGACCTGACTGTCGACGACGTCGTCCGAGCGACCCCGGATGACGAAACGGACTACGCCAACGCGTCCAGAACGTCGATTTTGCCTAGGGAG